GCGAGGCGAGGTGTGAGGTTGGACGAAAGGCGGCGGCGAGGCGAGGCTATTTTATATCAGTTGGGAGTTTCTTTTATAAAGGATGTGTACATAACCCAAGGCGGCGGGCAAGCCTTTCTCCTCCTATTAAATCCTTAGCATAATTACTTTATATTGCAATAAAGGGAGAAGGGTCCAAACCTACACTTGGTGCAGAGAACGACATGATTTGTGAAAACTAGCCAAGTGTCCGGAACGACTTGAAATTTGGGTATGGAGGGAGTATATAAATTGAGCTGAGCTATTTTATATCAGTTGGGAGTTTGTTTTATAAACCGTACATAACCCAACCAAGCCTTTCTCCTCCAATTAAATCCTTAGCGAATTACTTTCTATTGCAATAATGGAAGGGTCGAAACCTACCTTGTTGGGAGCTTCGCAACGAGGCATTTCTCAATCTCGTCACGTTACTATCGAATGCTCCATCAATTCTAAAATATAACATTTTGACTTTTTTAGACACGTGTTTTTTACTATACATTTAAATATATATTATATCAAAGATACATAGTAAAAACAATATATATAAAAAAATAAAACATCTTATAATTTAAAATGGAGAGAGTACTATCACATCTTAGACTTGGGCACCAAACACAAAAAAAAGATGAATGCTTCCTGCCTACTGTTTTGGCGCAAATACGGCTTTGCCATTTTTAGGTGATACTCCTTTTTTTTTTTTTGGGGTAATCGATTGAACAGGGCAGACGGTTTAGGAGAGCACTGACCACTTAACCACCAAGCAAGAGCCCAGCCGCTGAGGAGCCGCGTGGAGCGTGCACGTGCAGGGCTCGATTCGCTCTGACTTTCTGCACACGCCGTGAAATCGTTGGGCAGGGTCGTCTCCTCATTTGGTCGTGGTTTTTATTACCAGGCCTGGGTCGTCGGTCTTTTGGGGCGTATCACCAATTCACCACATGGAGTTCTGATGAGTTACATGTGCGCCAGAATTTGCAGTCGTCGGAGCACCATGTGCACACGGCATGCATGCCAATCACACTGTGAAGCTTATTGATCTGTGAACCATGAAATTTGTCTCAGACTTTTCTTGGGTTTGTACAAAGTAATCTATCTGGTAACATGCATGCAACAGCCATTTTAACAGTCATGAACATAGGGATACGATAACACGTTGACATTGTACTGCAATTCTTGATAGAGATGGCAATGGCTACTTGAAACTTGAGCATATAATATTGGATTTATGCAATAAAGTGGTGGGTATAGAAAGATATCTTCATCTAGAGATATGTTAACGGGTTAAGGACTCGTTTGGAACATGGGAGAAACGTCTTTTTTTTTGACAAAATACTCGGCAAACTTTATTGATTGGGAGATATTACATCGTTCATCATAAACTCAGCAATAAAACTAGGTAGGGGGGGTCATCGTCCAAATACAATCCGAGTTTTGACTCCATGCCTCGCCTAGCCAACTCGTGCACCGTCTAGTTTGCCTCTCTGCTACAATGTTCGATGGAGATCATTTGAAACCCGCTCCAAACAATATTACACTCATCATACACAGCAGCACCTGAATTTGCCGAGAATCCTCCGTTGCCATTGTTTTCACCACTTCCATGCAGTCAGACTGGACAATCAGTCGGTTGCAACCTGCATGTTGTGCTAGCAACAACCCTTCCTTCAATGCAAAAGCTTCCGCCATGGGAGCGTCCACCAGATAGGGGAGAAAAGTACAGCTAGTGAAACGTAGTTTGATTCAACTTCCAGAGGAAAGGAACGACACAGAAATGTTTGGAACACAGGACTGGATGGAAAACTTTCCAGAGAAAAGGGAAGAGCACCTGTACTTTAGGAGGAACCAGAAAATGCAGTCCGAGCTCATGGAATAAATTCCTGCAACACTGACGCATATGCCTGCTCGGTAAACAAGCTTTCTAGCTCAGGTTCTTAAACGTAACACAACAAGAGAAGGGAAAAAGACCAAGCAATTAAAAGGACTCCAAATATATTGAGAGTAAATATAAATATATATGAAAAATAAATAAGCTTTTAAATGCTAATATTGAGGGTAAATATAAATAAATATGAAAAATAAATCAGCTTTAAATGTTAATAATTGTCTTTTAAGTTTTTTTTCTATAATTCCTGTGATATAGATTCTTGTGTTCCAAACACCACTCCATCTCCTTTTCCTTTGTTTTTTCTTTCTTCAATTTTACAACTACATTCCTTTCCCTTTACTTTGTTTTCATCAGTTCCTACGTTTTTTAATCCTTTGAGCGGGTGTAGTATGAGTACATATTGCACACACATATAGCCGCAGGTATTTTATACGTGTCCACACATGTGCCATCAATAGAGGTGTTTGGATCCCGACATGATAGTATAGTAATAAGATAAAATAATCTGAAGGTGATGCAAACACCCTAGATTAATTCGACCACTTGATTATAATAATCTAATCTCTCCCAACCTGTTTTCTAGATTATAGGTCATTTGTACTCCAACTAACAATAAATACACCTCAATAATCAAGGGATCCAAATATTTTTGTCGGGTTCATAAACCTAGGGTCCCTTATGGACCGGCTTCCCAACAAAGGCTCGGCCCAGCAGATAACGTTGCGAACGATGCACAACTCCTGGGCGGCCCAAAAACCTAACAACATGACAGAAGGGCGAACCAGCTTCCGACCGGAAGGCCTCACTAAGAAGGAACAACACTCGCTTCCGATTCGGCCCGCCTCCGGATGGCCTCTCCGACCGGAAGGCCTGGCCAAACACCGCCTCCAACTCCGACCCGCGTCTCCAACCGAGGATGCACCGAACCCCTGCTTACAACTCTTCTCCGACTGGCGCAGTCAGAGCCGACTGGAACCAACCGACCTAGGACGCCCGCTCGGTGAGGACTAGGAAACAAACGGAGCAAGTAAGGCAGGGCACTCGACCGCGATACCGGGGACCTTAGCCTGCACACCTGCAGGACAGTAACCGACAGGACATGTCAGAAGGGTGCCCTGCAACCTTCCAGGGCATGCCAAAACCCAATCAGTGTTGTGGGCGCCGACATTTGCCCTACAGTGTTGTGGGCGTCATCAACTCCTATACCAGACAAACGCGGTAAGGCTTCCCCCCATATGCCTCTGGACATCAACAGTGTTGTGGGTGCCATCATCTACTATACATGATGAATACGGTAAAACCTCCCACATGCGTCTGACAACAACAGTGTTATGGGCGCCTACCATCATCTTGTACCCGACGGCGTGGGCAACAAGACTTAGTAGCATGCGTTCTCTCTCTCTTACTTGTAAGGCCGTCCCCTTCATCTATAAAAGGATGCGCCCTCTCCCAACAGATAGATCCCTCAGTTCACTTACATCGATTCACTCTTTGTAGCTTTAGACACTCTAAAGCTACATAAAGCGCACGCTCGAACACTTAGCATATAGCGGAACTCCCATCACTCTCGGCCCTTCAGACCGGAGTCCGATCGGACTTCTTGCACCCTCATCTTTCTCCCTTCCGTTTGTAACCCCACAGCAAACTTCGAGCACCTGGGCTCAGAAATAAAGTTACCGACCGACTTAAACTGGACGTAGGGCACGTTGCTTGAACTAGTATAAACCCTGTGTCATTGAGTGCTAGGCCACATCCGATCACAACGTACGACAAAAATACAAATATTTTATGTTGGTCACTTTCTGCACCGACAATTCTAGATTATCATAACCCGTAATCTAGATTATTATAATTTCATCTGTAATCTAGATTACTATAATCCAATCAGATCCAAACATGCCCTACCTCCTAGATGAGCCCAAAGCACACTCGCAGCCCAACCCAAATATGAAATATACATATATCCAGTATATATGACTATTAGATTATTATTATATTAGTTGGTAAAGTTTTGCTGCTATATTATCATTATTAAATTATATTTACAAATGTTTGCCAATATATGATCTTAGTCATATGATATATTTATGATTCTTGTTGTCTATAGCGGATATGTATCTAGGCTCAGGTTACCCATAGAATATTTTTGCCTTTATGGATATGTGTAAATTCTTTTTTACTTGTGTGTAGGTATGGGTATTTTAACGTGTAAAATTTTGTCTAGAGGGTAAGGGTATGCAATGGCAGTACCCAACGGGTATATACCAGTAGCCACATCTAGTTCTATAAAATGTAACATATAGTTAATTTTGGCTTAGGTGTCAAATGCCAATGGATTGCTTCTATTAGGGAGAGAAACAATTGAAAATAGTCAGCAAAAGGTAAATCACTTTCGCTTTCACCTTTTTTTAACCCAGAAACCAAAATGATGCGATATTATCCAAAATAAGTATGACATCAACATTTTGATAATGTTAGAAATGAAACTATTGGATCAAAAGCTCATGTATAAGAATCGAAAACCATCAATGAGATGTTTTAAAAACTATAAGCGCATTCAACAAATTGTAGAACACAACACTAATCATCTAACTTGATCCTTCTCCTAGGACAAGTAGTAATAGTTAAGATGTTAATCCCATTTAATCCATGCCACATACTCGCACATCATACATTAGCTTTGTTTTTTCTTGATTTTTTTTGTAAAGTTATTGATTTTATGGTGCATTGGTCCTTAATTTTGTTTTGTGTTTCGTTGATTTTGATTGTGAGTGATGCTAACTTCAGTATCATGGGGTAACAACCAGTCTCGATTCGATCCAAAATAGTCATCAACACAATACAGACTCCTCCTGACAGTAAATAAAGTTGCAGCCTTGCCAATTCAGGAGACTCACTGTGCCAGAAACACATAGCTCTTGTTCGCTGGTCTGGTTCCAGCGAACTAGCCGGCTGGTTCTCCTCTGGAGATTCAGCCAGTTTCAGCTCTTCTGATTTTTTCAGGAGACTCACTGTGCCAGAAACACATAAAGAAGACTCCATGCTTAAACGTGAGAATAGGCATGCATATACAGTAGTAGTACGTCTCCAACGACGATTAGGGGCGGACGGGGCCCCATGCCGGAGAGATGACGTGTCCTGGATCCGGCTCCCCTGTCGGCTTGACCGCGTCGCGCATCTTGTGGAAGGGGTGGTCCGGCAACGCCGCCGGGCTGAAAACATCCAGCTTCTTGTGGAATGGGTGATCGGGCAGCGCCGCCGGCCAGACAGCGTCCTGCTGCTTCTTGTGGAATGGGTGATCGGGCAACGCCGCCGGATGGACAGCGTCCTGCTTCTCGTGGAACGGGTGGTCCGGCAATGCCGCCGCCCGGACAATGTCTTGCTTCTTGTGGAACGGGTGATCGGGCAACGCTGCCGGCCAGACCGCGTCCTGCTTCTCGTGGAATGGATGGTCGGGCAACGCCACCGGCCGGACAGTGTCCTGCTTCTCGTGGAACGGGTGGTCGAGCAACGCCGCCGGCCGGACAGCGTCCTGCTTCTCGTCGAATGGATGGTCGGGCAATGCCGCCGGCCGGACAGCGCCAACGCCAGCGCCTGCGCGGAGAGGCCTCGGCAGGCCGGCCTTGGTCTCGCAGCGGTCGTAGCACTGCCCGTAGCAGGCCTTCATGTCGTTGCCATCTGCAGACCAACCATTCGACAGACACGTACGGTTATCCTTGCCGTCGTCAGATCATGCAGTGATTGTACAAGTAAACACATGCGTAGTCAAATTGAAATCGCTCCCAAATCGGTGAAACAGGTGTGTGTACAACTGTGACAGGACACACCAATCAAGTAAACACATGACACATGGCGCAAAGATTACCTTCACGGCGACGGTGGCAGGACTCCCTGACGCAGGCGACCTGGCAGTTTATGGGGAGCCCGGCGATGGGGCGCCAGAGCGCGGCGTCGGGCGCGCAGGTCTTGTCGCAGGCGTAGCCGCAGTAGTCTCTCATGGACTTGTCCTTGGAGATGCAGTCGTTGAAGCAGTAGTTGTAGCAGTCCGCGTACGCGCCATCCGCGAGCAGCGGCAGCGCCGCCGCCGCCGCCACCATGGCCGCCATTGCGACCGCTCGTCCGGCAGCCATCCCTGTCCCTGCAGTCTTCCTCCTCCGCGCTTCCTGGCCGCTCACTTCGACTGCAGATTCCTTTGCGTCCTAGCGCGCTCTTATAAGCCGGCGTGCGGCCGGCAAGCCTGTGTGTCACTCACTCACGCCGGGAGCGTGAGAGAGACAGGGAGTTACAAGCGTGTGCGCGCAAGCGTGCGGGCGAGTTGTGTGTGCGCCGTGCGCGCGCGGGGCAGCGGCGCAGGCGTGTTGTGTTGTTGTGTCCAACGGCTAGCGTGCGGTTGCCTGCTTCGGGGGCGCGCGCCGGTCGGCAGCGGTTGGAGCAGTTCGCCGGATGGCTGTGCCGATCCCATCGTCTGGCTGCCTCCTCTGTTTGAAATTTCATATTGATATGGGTCCAAACCAAATGTGAAATGTCCATCCAAAGAGATAAAACACTAGAGGTGGTTTCGTTGCCACCGACCCTCACCTGGGTAGCTGCATCATCCACCCCCAGGTGTCGAAATCGCCTAGCGGTTGATGCCTTGTCCAGACACGTTTCCCATACCGAGAACCAAACATGCCCTTTTCTTCAATGAATTTTGAATCCTCAAACATCATTTTTTTGGGATGGAGAGAGTACAACATAAATAGATTTCAAAAGAAGATTGCAAAAAACACATAACAAGCACACAACACTTATTTTACTGCTATAAGTGATAAAAAATTGTGAAATTACTTGTGATTCGGAAAAAAAGACTGAAATTACTTTTTTTTGTGACCAAGACTGAAATTACTTGTGATACGAAAAAAGTTTGTGAAATTACTATACAAAGAAAATATTTTCACAACAAATCCAATTATGGGTCTATTCCCTTTCCTTTCCTCCAGGCCTTGGACCAGGCCACTTGCTTGATTGGTGCGCATCTATTGATCTACTTACCTATTTTGCTCACCTGTTTTCTTTAATTTCTAAATAAATATGTCCCACTTAAAATGGCAAAAGAACTTCTTATCACCCTGTACGTTTGTTGGTTTCAGCCAGCCCAAACCAGCCAGCCAACAGTATTTTCCTCTCATAATAAACCAGCACCAGCCAACCCAAACCAGTCCAGAAACCAACCAGCGAACATGCCCTATATCGCACCTCGCAACGGTTATCTGTTGCAATCTAGTAGCACTCTGGGTAACTGGTTCGGTCACAAAACTTGATGGCAGTCTTCAAGCAAACTGTGGTCCCTCGCATGACATTTGCTCTCTTGACTTTGTTGTAGTATGTCGTTGTAATGGCTTTGAGGTGTTTGTTTGAGTGAAACCCTTTCAGTATCTCACTCAACAAATTAAATTTTAAATATGGACCCAAAATCCAGTTCAATTTTTGAAAAACTATCTAATAAATATATCTATGACTAATTATATTAATTTTAATATCATTAATGATGTACAATTGAACTTATTTAAAAACTACCTCTATGACTAATGATGAATTATATTCACTACTACAGAAAGGAATTGTAGCAACGCCTCTTTTTTTTAGGGGAACATATCTAGTGCAAACCAACATCTCCGTGCAAACCGTGCAAACCAACTGCGGGGGAGAGGTGGGAGGGGGGAATTACACTTTTGCAAATCCCTCCTCCCACCTCTCCCCCGCAGTTGGTTTGCATGGTTTGCACGGAGAGGTTGGTTTGCACTTGATACATTGCCTTTTTTTAGAAGCGGTTCTATATTGAGCCGCCCCTACAAATATGGCCATTTGTAGGAGCGGCTCTAAAATTTAAAATTTTTAAACGACTTTAGATGGAGAAATAATCAAAATAAAAGTTGTGGATCTCGAAAAGTTATAGAACTTTGTTGTTTATAACTTTTCCATTTGAAATAATTTACTATTTTAAAATACCATTTGAAATTCAAATTTTAAATTATTGAAGAAGTCTGATTTCTCTTTTTAATCTCTGGCTAAAATTTGTAACTAGTCTTTCTCTCTTACTAACTTCACATTTGATGATTTTTTCCCTAAAATTTTCTAAAATCATGCTCTATCAATGTATTGTGTTCTTATAGCTATTATTTTCATCAACTTTTCATGTGACTTTGTTTTTATCAATTCAAAATTTGAATTTCAAAAAAGAGCAACTTAAAACAACATTTTGGAATAGTAAATGATTTCAGCTAAAAAAGTTATGAACATTAAAGTTGTAGATCTTGTCGGATGAACAAATGATCAAAATAAAAGTTTGTAGATTTTGATGAGTTCTACAACTTTTATTTTCATGAGTTTTTCAGCTGAAATCATTTACGGTTTTAAAATGTTGTTTTAAGTATTTATTTTTTGAAATTCAAATTTTAAATTATTCAAACAAAGTAAGATGAAAAGATGATCAAAATGAAAGTTGTAGATCTCGAAAAGTTAAAGAACTTTATAGTTGACAACTTTTTCATTTGAAATCATGTTATCAACGAAAACTACATTTTAATTTCTCAAATTTGAAATTTGAATTTTTGAAACGACCTTAGATGGAGAAAAACAAAAATGAAAGTTGTAGATCTCGAAAAGTTATAGAACTTTGTAGTTGATAACTTTTTATTTGAAATTATTTTGTCAAGGAAAACTACATTTGAATTTATTAAAGTTGAAATTTTAATTTTTTAAATGACCTCGGATGGATAAACAGCAAAAATAAAAGTTGTAGATCTCAAAAAGTTATACAACTTTGTAGTTGACAACTTTTTCATTTGAATTTGTTTAAGGCCTCAAACAATCAATTTAAATTCCGTTAAGGATAATATAATGAGAAAAAAATCTATTATAGGCACAAGTGAGTGTGAGGTGCAGTGGTTAGGGGAGTACCACGCGAGGGGGAGGTCATTGATTCAATTCCCAGCAGCCACGAAGCGCGTGACTTTTGGGGAAAAAAATGCAACTTGCGACTTAGCGGGCGGGTGGCTGACCAGTGGAGGCCTCTTGGGATTATTATTTTTTTTCTACAAATCTTAAAACCCTCTAAAACTGCCCCTAAACATCGGATGTGTAGTAGTGATTATTTTTAATATTAGAAATGATATATGTTTGAAGGTTAACTTTAAATATTGTTCATATAGTTAAACAACATTCCTTTTAATATTGCCAATCGTATTAATTTTAACCAATATGACGAATGCCACATTATTATAATTTTTTAATAGCTGCTATTCAAAATTGTGTCTATGTTTAATTTATATTCATTTTTAAAGTCTATAATTATTATTATCTTAAAAGTATTTACAAGTTTATCTCAGTGACCAGTTGATATCCCATGTGAATCTGAATCCAACCTAATCGATTTGGGTATTGGATCTGAATTTGTATTCAACAAAAAATATTATGGACATTAGATGTAGTTATATCTGATTGTATTTAAATCCGATCTGTTCTCATTCTTAATGACATTTGAGACTCTGGTATGAGTATTTTTCCAGGCTGTAGTTTGTTTATAATTTTCTCTTAGGACACGTTTGCCTCTTGTTAGGGCATAGTTTTCTTCAGTTTAAACACTGTTTTGCTGTCTAAAGGGTGTTTGGGAGAGCTTCACAAATTTAAGTTCAACAAAATACAACTCAACCATCAATTTCAAGCCAACCAACTCATCAAACTTGAGATCTATAAAAAGGATGGATCTAGAGGGGCCAAATAATCTATGGCTTTAGTGAAGGTCATTAGGTGGTGCTAAAAAAAGAATGATTTCAGACCTTCTCGTGGATCGAGTTGGATGATAATTACCCATAATGCAACTGACTATCAGCCTGTTCGCTTCGTCGTAAACGATCGTGGATTATAAACCATAATAATATTTTTCTCTCACATCAAACCAACCAGCAGTAATAATCCATGATCGTTTCGGCCGAAACGAACAGGCTGTATACAATTTAGGATACTGTTTCGTTTTGTTCTATTCCTTCCCTCAACAATTCCCAATTGCTAGACACGCTTGACCAGATCCTCTATCCACCACCACCACCACTAGAGGCATCACCACCCTTAATCCTTATCGCGTGTGGTCGTCGCCACCATGCCTCTCCTCCCGTCACTATTGTGTGCCACTGATTGCCCACGTCGTGCCATCGACCCGCTCACTTGCTCGAAGCCACCATTGCCTTCTCGCCTGCCTGTGTCGGCACGCCCACACCGTCCTGACCGCTAGCCAAGAGAGAAATGACTACCTGTGTTATTATTTTTTTGCCCCCTCCCTAAATATTCTATCTTCTTTATAACTACCTAAAAGTATTTTTATAATTGCATATAAGTCCTGTACACCAGTCTCATAAGGGAAACAGTGCCATTGTAGTCAAAACCTTCATTTTCTAGATCTGGAGCTAAGCTGCAAGTTAAACACATATATCTATTATATTATGAGAGGTCAATTTTTAGATTGGAGCTTGGAGTTGGTAATCTGAAGTTGTTTACGCAGAATTGTAGCAATCCCAGATAGGCTCTAAGTGCTCTATGGTCATCCCTCTACGATAGTTGGGATGTTGTATGTCTATACTTTTTTTTTTCGCTAATGCTTGGCCACAGGCGTCCGCTCCCATCCGAACGCTGTCTCCCAGGGCCTGCGTAACGTAGGGGCCCAACAAGCGTGCTCTTCCTCACTCGCACTCGTGTCCGCCTATTGGAGCGTCACCACGGATCCGCCTGCCGCACTCTGCCCCGCCCCGCCCGCTCCCCCACCGCGCACCCGTCCCCCGCGCACGTCGTGCCTTCCCCCTACCATGCCACACCCCATCGCTGGCCGCGCCGCGCCACCATCCCGCGCTTCGCCCCTATCCACCGGCGCACCCCCATCAACCTCGCCTGTCACGGCCATGGCGGGCACCACACCACCACCACCCCGACGCCACTAGGAGGAGGTCGCCGTCGGTCTGAACTTCGTCTCTCGCGTCCGGCCGAAGACACCATGGCAGAAAAGGGAGGCCGGCGCATGCTGGGCCATTTACTCTCGGCGTTCCCCCCTGGAGCCGAGCTTGCTGGCTACCGCAACCCCCCTAGGTAGGTCATGGCCGCC